AATTTTGTGTTTTGCAAAGTTTGCTGCTTAAGCTGTTGTGGTGTTCATTCACATTGTTTCTAGATTATTGTGTAGAGTGATCAGATGCAGTTTAAATAATTGCTAAAAGCTTCACTGGCCAAAAAATGAACTTTTCACAAAAAAAAACAAATTTCACAGTTTTTTGATCCTGACACAAAATGAGCAGTTAACATTAATTGACTAATCATATCAGCAGCACATGTGAAAGTGTGAATGAGTACTAGTCAGGTTAATCACTATCATACTAATTAGATTGTAAGAGCAGACTGATTGCTATAAAAAGAGAGAAGAAGCACTTCCAATCATTTCATTTCTATTTTTGTTCCATTTTATTTTCCTGTAATTAGTTTCTTTGTTCTTATTTTATTATTGACTGTTTGCTTGTCTTCAGTAAGTTTGAGAACTTAATGTTAATGCATAGAAAAAAAGTAAAAGCATAGGGTTGTTGTTGTTTTTTTGTCCCAAAATTGTGCCAACATCCTGACGACTGCGCCAAATACATAAGATCAAATCTCCATGACAGGAATATTGGATCCAGTCTTTTTACCAGATCCTGTCAGAAGACATTCGTTTTGTCTGAGACTCAAAACTGTGTTAACTCAAAGTCTTCTGTCATCCTGAGAGGTTAACAGAGGAATCCAGGGAAGAGCAGAAAGCAGGAGACAAGTGATGATCAAATGGCAGGATTTATTAAATAATATTAGTTGTGTATGTTTCAATGCTCAGATTTCATCAACAAGTGTTATTATATCAAACCAAAAGCAATGGAAAATTTCTGCTTCACAACATCATCCTGTGACATTAAAAACCTGGAAATGGAGACAATCTCTGATCTCTTACTCATGAAGAGAAATATACCTAAAAACCACACAATCATAAAATAAAACAATATTACGATTATATGACATTCAGAGAAGCTGCTCTGTGTGTGTATGTGTGTGTGCGTGTGTGTGTGTGTGTGTGTGTGTGTGTGTGTTTTGCGGGAGGTGTGAGATTCTGAATTTGGGCGGCAGCTGCTTTAGCATACAGTCAGCTCCACCCAGAACTCTCTCTTTCACACACACACTTTCTATCATTCACTTCACTGTCAGTCACCTGAGCTGTCAAACAGGTAAGCAAATCTCCCTGCCATTACAAGATCTCAAAATTAATATATTCCTTCACCTTACATACATTTGTACTGTTTCAGGTGATTTTTATTCTGTATGTTAGTTCTGTAGTTTCTTACAATTTATTTCTACAAAAATATATCAAATGATGTTGATATGCATCAGAAATACATTGCCGGTCAAAAGTTTGGAATAATTAAAAAATTTTTTTTAAGTCTCTTCTTCTCACCAAGGATGCTTGTATTCCTGAAAAATACAGTAAAAAGTGTGAAATGTTATTACAATTTCAAACAGCTGTTTTCTATGTGAATATCTGTTAAACTGTAATGTATTTCTGTGACGCGCAGCTGTATTTTCAGCATCATTACTCCAGTCTTCAGTGTCACATGATCTTCAGAAATCATTCTAATATGCTGATTTGCTGCTCGAGAAACATTTCTGATTATTATCAATGTTGAAAACAGTTGTGCTGCACAATATTTTTGTGGAAACTGTGACAGCCATTTAAAAGTTAATTTTTTTAAATAAATAGATAAATATTTGTACTCATCAAGAATGCATTATATTGATCAATTGTGACAGTAAAGACATTTATAATGTGACAAAAGATTTCTATTTCAAATAATTACTTTTCTTTTGAACTTTCTGTTCATCTGTGAATCCTGAAAAATAAAATGTGTCACAGTTTCCACAAAAATATACTATGCAACAAAAAACTGTTTACAACAAAGATCGAACTATTAATAATTGAGCACCAATAATAAGTAAACAAATAATGTACAATATAAGATCAAGTAGTTTGTAAATTACTAAATGTAAAAGTAACATCCTAATATGGTAGAAATAGCACTTGTAGTATGCTAATATGCTTTTCTGGATTCAACCAGTCAAAATGATAATTCAAATCAGATGAGAGTCTGACTGATGATTATATAATAAGACACTCATGAACTGTTTCTCTGTGAGTCTCTGTCACAGCAGGATCTGCTCAAGATACTGTTCTTACTGTTCTTCTAGATCTCTGTTACCTGCAGGAACTGGATGTGATCCTGTTTGTGTGAAAGCTCAGCGTCTTTTCCTGATCTCTGATCAGCCGTTTCAGCTCAGAGCAGCTTCTCTCAATAGGGCGGATGAGCTCAGTAAAGATCCTCTCACTGTCCTCCACTGCTGTCTGTGCAGAGCGCTGTTAGGACACACAGTGATTCAGGCTTCAGTGAGTCTGAACTGAGACGGAGACAAACTTCTCTTCTTCTCCAGACTCACCTTATGAGACTCCACAGCCTCTCTCAGCTGCTGAAGATCTTTCTCTCTCTGCTGGATTCTCTGCTGGAACGTCTTCTGCGTCTCCTTCAGCTGGTGCTGCAGGACAAACGGATGATAGTGAATCTCACAGAAAACTTCTGGCACTAAATCATCATGTGAACAGATGAATCCAGTAAAAGTGGAGCTGATAACTAATGGCTGTAGGTTCAAACTCCAGAAGTGATGATCGGCTACAATCATACATGAATTATCATAAAGATTAAGGCCTGTTTCACACTGCAAGCATAAGTATTATAAAAGTGAAACTGACACAGAGCTTCATACTGACAGTATTTCTGCATTTTGACTGATGCAAGTTTATATATTTTGTCAAAGAACCGGTGAATAGTTCACTCCATTATTTTATGTTGCTTAATCAATGTCTGTTTTACGAAAGTTCCCTTTCATGGGAACTTCGAACTGCGTCCTTTAGGTGTCGCTATGGGGAACGCCTCGTTGTGACCCTTGTCTGAAGCATACATTGAAAACACAACAACACGTTGGCCGGCGACAGCCATGACGTCACTACCGGTGCGACTATAGTATAAATAGGTGCCGGTAGAACACATCATTCACTTCTTCGTCTTCACTGACTGTTTTGTTTGAAGCGTGCATTTCCGTGGTAAGAGCGATCTCTTTCATTCATTATGGCGAGCACTAGTAAAGCGTTTAGAAGATGTGTGCATCCGTGTCATCGCTATTTCACACCCGATGACACACACGATCTATGCGTTTTTTGTTTGGGCGAAGAGCCCGCACGCGATGTCCTCGAGGGGGCAATCTGCGTGCACTACGAGCGTTTTTCAATGAAAAAGCTCAGTTCTCATTTGTCTCTTTGTTCGAGTAAAGAGGAGCAGCCATCTGCTTCCCGCGGTTCAGGACCCGCCGCTGCTGAGGCACGGAGGAGAATGAGCTCGTGGGGATCGCAGGTGGACCTGGCCGATGAGTTTAAAGAGGGGCTTTCCCTCTCGCGCTCGTCGGCTGTGGACGAGAATGAGCCGCTGGAGGATGATGTTATTTCTTTAACATCTTCTGATCCAGGGCCCAGTGCTCTGCTGGGTTCGGCCCAGGAAGAGCAGGAAATGTCTGAGGAGGGCGAAGAAGCTGAGGCTGAGCCTTCCCAATCCTCCTGCCCTGCGTATGATGAGCTCTTGGAAGTTATGGATCTAAGGACGTGACGTCGCAAGGTCGTCTTGATGAACATTATCTTTCTGGCCATAGCCCTCCAGCTCAGGTGAGCCTCGATCTCCATACTGAGATCGAGAAGGAATGGAAGAGGCCGTTTTCCTCACGCATCCATCGGTTTCAGCATACCAGTTATGCGAACATCGAGGCGATGCGCGAAAACGGCTATGAGAGGATGCCCCCTGTAGAAGAGACGCTAGCCAGCTATCTCTCTATGGGTGAGACATCTTCTCTCAAAACTCCCTCCTTGCCATCCGTGCCCCTTCAGATTACATCTCGCTTGAATGGCAAGGCATACGCAGCAGCAGGTCAGGCTGTTGCTTCGCTGCACACGATGGCGGTGCTCCAGGCATACCAGGCTGACCTGCTGAAAGACCTGGATAAAGGCGAGGGCCTTTCTCCCGATGTAGCGGAGTTGCTCCGCACCACAGATCTCGCTCTCCGTGCTTCTAAGCAGGCCGCCTCTGCTATGGGCAGGGGTATGGGTAGTGACGGAGAGGCATCTGTGGGTAAACCTGGCAGACATCGGGAAGAAAGAAAGGGGCTTTCTTCTCGATGCCCCGGTTTCGCCCTCTGAACTTTTTGGTACATCCGTTGAGACGGTCGTCGAAAAGTTCAGGGAGGCGAAGGCGCGCTCAGCGGCCTTCAAAACCTTCATTCCACGAAGGTCCAGGTCTGAGCCCGAACAACCCAGGGGTCCTGGCCCGTCTCGGTTTGAGGATCAAAGACGAGCACAGAAGGCTAGTGTCGCGACTCGCGCTCCTCCTCCGCCTGCGGGTAGGGGTAGGAAGTATCGTGGGTCAAAGGGAGGTAGGCAAGACCTGAAGGATGTGATCCAAACAAGGCGTCAGCGCTTTCGTCCGGACCAGAGTAATACTTAGGTATCCACTCTTCCCCTCAGGGGGTGTAACATCTACACTTTTCTTCCCCTTCCTAATTCCCCTGTAACCACCATATCTCCACCTGACCGAGGTTAGGTGGAAGCTTCCTGCATAACAGTCTGCTTCTGGACCTATGATGGTTTTTGGTTGGTTCTATGGTTAAATCATAGTAACCACCTTACTGATGGTCCGGTCTAGAGGCTGCTCCGGACAGAGCTCCGACGCGGGAGCCATGGTGGGTGAGTACGATCCATGTCTAAAATATATGTATATATAAATATATAAATAATGAACTGGTGGTTGTGTGTATAACCCTTCTGCTAGTTTCTTTATACATACTCTTTTGGTTTCTGTACCCAATATTTAAAAAATTTACAAATGCAATGAAAATATTGGTATCGGTACTCAGTATCAGCAAATACCAAAAATAAAAGTATCAGTATCGGGTGAGTACTGGAAAAACTGGTATGCTTTCAGGCTGCCCTGTCTGGTTTACTGTATCTAGGTCGCCCTGAGGGGCCTCCTGATCACCAGAATATCCCCTCTTGCTGAGGCATCGAGCGGGAAGTATAGGTGGCATTTGCGAGAACCTTCTTGTGTAATGCTGTCTCAGGCAGTGCTCCCCTCACCTTAGAGGGTTGTATTTGAGCTTGCCTCTCCCGTTTGGCCCAGTACTTCCGGGTATCTGTGAGCAGATGCTTGGGAAACTCTAAATCCATACTATGGTAAGTGCACACGTAAAGCTTTGCACACTTTCTAAAAATCGTTTTGGGATGCACCATTTCCATCTATGGGCTGCTCTTTCAGAGGGCCATGAGATCCCCTTAGAACGGTATTTTTAAAAATCCATGTTATGGTGAGTGTGCACGTGAAGTTTTTGTACACTTTTGAAAATCCACACTGTGGTAAGTTCGCACGCTAGTACTCTGCGTTCTTTTCTAGAATCCTGTATGGTAAGAGCTACGCGCAGCAGCTTCGTGCTCTTTCTTGTGTTCTGCGTAATTAAGCTGCAGCTCTAGACAGAAAATAAATGACTGAAGTGAAGCTATAAATGGCTAAAATCATCTGGATTCAGTCAGATTTACTGAACAGAAAGTGTTTGTGTGCAGCTGCTGTTCATTTCTGCTGTGGTGAGCAGTGTGAATGCTGTAAGCTGTTAATATGGTGCTGATATAAACACATATGAAACGAGTGTCAGCAATATTTCATCAGTGTCTAGTTTTAAATACCTGTTTCTCTGTCTTCTGATCTGCAACTGATACAATGTCATGGGTTTTATGTTCAATAATCATACACAGCAGACATATACATTTCTGGTCTGTGCGACAGAAAACCTCAAGGAGCTTCTCATGTTTCTTGCAGATCATCTCCTGCAGTCGTCCAGTGGCTTCAGTCACTTTGTGTGGCTTACGTGAATGAAACTTCTCATGACGGTCAAAATGAGTTTGACAGTAAGATTCCTGACACGCCAGACAGGACTTGACGGCTTTGTCCTACTCAGGGAACCATGGTTACATACGTAACCTGAGACGATTGTTAAAATGGTGCCGATATAAACATATGAAACGAGTGTCAGCAATATATCATCAGTGTCTAGTTTTAAATACCTGTTTCTCTGTCTTCTGATCTGCAACTGATACAATGTCGTGGGTTTTATGTTCAATAATCATACACAGCAGACATATACATTTCTGGTCTGTGCGACAGAAAACCTCAAGGAGCTTCTCATGTTTCTTGCAGATCATCTCCTGCAGTCGTCCAGTGGCTTCATCTGATCCTCCTGATCCCAGCAGTCTGTAATACAGCTCTTACAGTAACTGTGTCCACAGGGAATGGCCACTGGATCCTTCAGGAGATCCAGACACACTGGACACAAGAACTCATCCTGAGAAACTCTGGCTTCTGCCATTTTACTGCATGAACACAGAGACACAAACACACATCAGCTCAACTACACTTTCAGTTTCTCTTTCCCTGAAATCACGTGTTTCCTGTTTCCTGGTTCTGTGTTTGAGTGACGTGTGTAAAACAGGTGTGTCTGTGAGACTGTGAAGCAGTTTCCTCATTCCTGCTCCTGTAGAGTCTCTCTCTCTCTCTCTCTCTCTCTCTCACACA